CCTGTAATTTTGAATACCAAAAATTGTAAAGTGTTGGGTACTATAGGAGAGAGGAGGGATTCCGTTATGTTATGTTATGTTGTTACTTTGTTTGTTTGTTTGTTAATTTTTACACGGCATACGTATTATTGCCTATAAATAACACAATGATTGTAAAAAAATGTATTTTATAAAACATAAACAATAACACAGATGCAATGAATTAAATTTATACACACTTAATGTTGAGAAATTAAAAATTAATCCTAACAAGGAAATTATTCAAAGCACAACATTTATACATATATGTAACCAATATTGAAAAATAAATAAATTACTTGTCTTAAATCATTAAATTAATGTAGAAAAATTAAATATTAGTTACATCTCAAAGATAAAGAAATGAAATATATAAACCTGTGTAAGTAAATGCAAAATTTATAAAAAGAAATCATATTACTGGGATATAATTCGTTTTAAATCTAAAGAACTGGTATCATCAACAATACATAGCAACTTTCTTTTCTGCGCGTTGTCACGAATTTTTTTTAATACAGAACAAGTCTAAAAAAGAAAAAATGTTTTAAAAACATTTTATTTAGATATCTGTTGGTAAAAATTATATTGAAAAAATAGGAATTTTAAAAATTACTGTACATACGTAGAATATTAGCACACTAGAAAATGAGGGTTTTCAGGATTTCGAAACAATTCGAAAAAAACATGATAAATTAGAAATAATGGACAAATAACTGAAAAGAAGTAATAAAACAGTTTATACATTTAAAATAAGTAAAGAGCATACCGGCAAACTTGCTTAGAAAATGACTTTAAAAGTTGATATTTTATTTTATATTTTCAGGATAGGATTAGGCATATTAAAAATAAAAAAATGCTCCATACATCCTTCTCTGAGGCATCATCACACATAAGAGACTAAGAAATGACTTACATCAAATAAATACTTGTTGCCTACAATAAAAAGAGCGTGCTTCGCTCTTGTCAATGCCACGTTCAATCTATGTTCGTCGCTTACAAAACTGTTGCCGTCCATTCTTACATACGACACAATAATTATATCTTTTTCTTGCCCCTGAAAACTGTCTACGGTGTTTGCAGTAACTTTTACATTTGACCTGAAACTGCCCAAAAAACATAAACAAATAAATTATTTAATATTAAATAAATTAAGGATAAATATTCAAAAACACATAAATTATTCAAAAAACAGTAATTGCAGAAAGCCTGCATTCAAATAATCGTAGATTAGACTACAGTTAACAATAAATATCAGTAATATACTAATATACTACAATGGCTTGATATATTTACAAAACTTACTTGTATCCTTTAAGTGCTTCGTTTAGTTTGACTTTCTGATTATTATAAGGTGTAATAATACCAATGTCGACAGAATCAGTGGCTGAAGTCAATTCAATGATAGTACTGAGTAGTTTTATTACAAAAGTGACTTCGTTCTCGTTACGGTACTGCTCGACTGGACAATACATCGCTAAATTAAACACTACATACGGTTTAAGGCGTTTGAATTTACTGTCGAGACATCTCGAACCATTTTTTAAACGATTGTTGTAATACATCTTGCTAGGTAACTGCGATATTTCCGGATGCATACGGTACTGAGTGTCCAGCATTACAATTGGATTATCTGGCTTATCTTCGAATTGGTTGCTTATACGAGAAAACAACGACATCCCATATTTTAACAGTTTTGCTTCCTTAAGTAAAATACGTAATTATTTATTATATAAAAACCCTCAAAAATAAAATAAGAACCTGAGATAATGTTGTTGGACATAATTGGCGAGGATCCCCCACAAGGACTATTTTTTCTAAACCAAGCATTAAAGGAATGAGTGTTTCTTGTTCATTACTTTGAGTTGCCTCATCCACGATGCAACAAGTTATTTTTCCAGAGCTTAAATTTAATTATTTTGGTCATTATCAAGTTCTAATATTAAAAAAATAAATAATTCAATTTTCCTTGGTTAAATGACAATCAAATATGGATACATGTTAAAAATCATAAATAACTAAGATTATTATGTTTAATGGTACTGCAATTTTTACAATTTAAACGATTTTGATAAAGAATACTGGAAAAGGTTACAGGATGATGTTTAATTATTTTCTACATTATTCAGTGGTTGTTAATTAATAACAAACTCAATCTGCTTTCAATATATGATAAACAAATACGAATTTTGCGTTTAACAGATCATGGATAATAATTAGAATTAATATGTTGTAATAATATTGTAACCTGTTCATCTAAATATATTTATTGAAACAAAACATTACGACTACTTTTACTCACTTTCTAAATACAGCCTCCATTTGCAAACTAAAGCAACTCGATAATGTCGTGCAAATAACATTTGCATTGTAAAGACAACTCCACCTAATTTTATCCAATTCGGAAAAATATTTCCGTCCCAAATTGTTCACACAAATCTTTTCGTACTCTTTTTTAGCACATTCCAATCGTTCGAAACTACTGCTGGTTATCTTACACTCTCTCTCCAACTCGACAATTTTTTGCTGTAAACTTAGAAATTGGTCTCGAAATTCGGGAAATATGCGATGCACTTCTCTTAAGAAATTTAATTTCGTTATATACTCTAAACTAAACGGATACACTTTTGGGTGTATTGAGTTTGGAGGTCCCACTCTGATTACTTTAAATTTTTTTCGATTTGTGTCTAAAATGAGAATGACAATAAATGAAGAACAAACCAAAGATAATTCTAACCATTAAGTCTTTGGCGTATGACCATTAGTCTTTTTACAAGTTCATCGACAGCTCCGTTGGATGGGGCCACTAAAAGTGCACAACGGGGAGGTCCATCTGCGGAAAATACTATTTCTTGTATTATACTCGTGATTACGGTCGTTTTACCAGTTCCTGGGGGTCCTTGAATAAGATAAAGACCTGGTTTTTTGCCTAAGCACAACTCAGTAGCTTCAACCACTGCTTTAAGTTGACTTTTATTAAGTTTTACCTGTGAAATATCAATAAGTATAATTGTACACGGTGCTTAAAGGATCACTTACGTCGGTGTACAGTTTTCTCGGTTCAAACTCGTTCACTTTAAAATTTTCTATTTTAGGATTAAGTATCATCTCCTTTAAAGGTGAAAACTGTAAATATTTTACGGACTTAAACAACCGAAGATAGGGGCCCATCGATGAAACCAACCTGACAAACATTATGTTCCCTTTATCAGATGAATTCACATAGGATTTTGTTTTAAATGTAAAATTGACACAGTAATCCGGAGCCAATCCTAATACAGATGCCACTGAAATTGAAGTGATAATATTCTTGCACATATGGGATGAGCAGCTATAGTGCAAAATAACCAACGCAAAAATAAAAAATCGTAAAAAAAAGTATAAATTTGATCCGCACGACAAGGGTTCTATACCTTATCAAATATGTTGTTAAAAGTTTGGCTCACAGAGAAGAGTAGTGTCCAACTAGTCTTTGAACTGACGACCTTATGATGATGGTTGTACTCATTATTATTTTAGCAAGACAACTTGCAATAAAAGAAATTTGTTTATCTATATCTACAGAAATTTAACTTCTACAGCTATGTCAAATTTCACACCAAAATCATTAGTAATTACTGAAATAATCTGTTGTGATTTACAGACAACGATATTTTACCATAAAGGCTTATTTCTTCTTTCCTTTCCTTCTTTGGTACAGAACCCTGATCACGTCAGCTTGTAAACGGCAAATTTCTTCTTACCTTCAAAATCAATGACATCTTTCTCTTGAACAGGTCTTTTACAAACAAATGTAACAAAGCCAAACCCAGTTCTTAAAATCTTCCTATTATCATATCTGCTTTTCACCTCAAAAACTACCAAATCTTCCTCCTTTATATTAACGCCCTTGACATGTCGTTCTTTATCAATGTAAGCTAAAACCAAGAAGTTTCAACTTTTAAAACAACAAATAGCGAAGTAACAAAACTTACTAAAACTTTTCATAAAGGTGTAACCTTTAACGACTTCCTCGTCTTCAATTCTGCTACAGAAAGTAGTTTTCCTATGTAATTAAAAAAAATTAAACCATGTACATTAAGTTAGGGTATGTAGAAAGAAAAACACGAAGGCAAGTTCTTCTTTCTTATACCGGCTCAATATGGTACAAATTTACTATTCTTTTTAATACTGTTTGAATAAAGTAAATTTTTTCCACGTCCTTCTTCCGATGAACTTTAAAAACCCTCTTAATCTTCAAATTAAGAGATCATAATAGGAAATAAATATTTAGTGGGTTGGAATGAGAGAAAAATAATGTTACGTTTTTTAGACATACCCTTAAATAATTCTATATTATTTGTATTATATTATTTTAGTACCTTAAATCGTTGCCAGGATTACTCCAGTCTTTATATAAAGAATTCCATAATTCTAACAAAAGTAACGGTACGACAATATTGTAATAATCACTATATGATGAAAATTTTGCACTCATTTCGACTGGTGGACGTTTGTTAACTTGGGGAGAATAAGATTTATTTTTCTGTTGACTTAACCAACTGGCGGACCAACGAATTATTTGGTTAATTATATCAGAAACATCCGTTTTAACATTCATTTCTACTGATGAGAGGGTGTTTGGGATATTTAATGGTGCCTTGTTCGTTACGTTCAAACGATTTGTCGTTGGTACCTCTCTGAGACTTAGTGACTTGGATGACGTAGTGTTACTGTTTATTTTATTTGGAAGGCTAGAATTTTTTTTAGATGACGTAGCTCCACCTTTTAATGAATGTAATGATCTGATAGAGGGTTTTGTAAGGTCATTATTTATGTTAACTTTCCGAATGTTTTTAACTAAGTTGCTATTGTTTTCAAGTAGAAACTGTCCCCTGCCCTCGGAAACTTTCACTTTCACAGCGCCCTTTTTCGCTGTTACTTCTTTTTGCTTTTGGTCAGTTTTCTTTGCGGCAATTTCCTTTACTTTTTTTCTGAAACAGGTTTCAAATTTTACGATGTTGAGTAAAATGTTACTCATCAGAAACAAAGGAACTTTCAACAAAGAAATAACAATTGAATTTGTCTTACCTAATTTCATCGCGTTTAGTTTCCTTTTTCTGAATATTTGAATAAGTCGTTTTAGCTAATTTATCTTTTCTTGTTGTATTATATTTTGGCGGTGTTTTTTCAACACGCCTCTTTTTTTCTTGTTTGCCCACTTCATATCGGGACCTACTGCATTCCCTTTTGTTACAATTTCTAGCACGTGTTACCCTATGAGGTTCCACAATAGGTGGAACGATGTATTTCTTAGCTGATCTACTTGGATAAAATGAGGAAACAGGAACCGTTGACGACTCAAGTTCTGAAACTTGTACAATTTTCTTCATAGTTTCTTCTGATGGTGGTAAAGTTGCATGTTGTTCTTCAATAATCAGATTCTGTTCATGTTCATCTTCATTCCCCAATGTGCCTTCATTACCAGATTTGTTATTTAAAGAAGCTGCTTCTTCATAATAGAGAATATCGACGTTGTTATTCTCAAAATTATGGTACGTTCCAGGGACAACTCTATCAGACATTCGTCGAGATTCTACTTTTTGGGCAGTTGCGTTTTTTTCACCATCGCTGTACCAGTCAGACTCGATATCACTATCCAACATTATACAAGGAACAAAGTCAGTCTTATCAAGTTCTTCCAGTTCCTTTTTTATATTGAGAAAAAGACTTTCATCATTAATATTACTTTCTTCTACGACGCCATTGTCAACTTCTTCTTCTTGGCTAGACTGGAACAATTGTGAACAAGGAAAATTACTACCGTCGTCATCATCATCATCATCTTCCACAAAAATGATGTCTTCATTGGTGAAACCAGTTGATATTGCTTTCACCGATTCTATTTTTACTAATCCTTTTTCTGTTTCATTTTTGTTTTCATTAAAGCTTTTACTTCTTGTTATGGGACCCTTTAAGGCAGAATCATTGTTATCAATTAAATTTGACGATCTTTTAATTTCTTTAGAAACATTCTCTTTACAACTTGAAATACTTTTTGTATTATGTTCAGTCAAGTCCTTCTTTATTTTTTTCATGCTTGCTTTCACATTATCTTCATTTTTTCGTTTTGAGAGATGGGAACAATTTGAAGAATCGACTGTAGGTTTCTGAAAAATGTTATTTTCAGCAGGGTTGACATTATGAGTCTCATTATTTGTTAAAAATTTCTGAACTATCTCATCTTTATTATTAGTAAGTCCCTCAACATTGGCATTCAAGTTTTTAAACTTTGGAGATTCCTTAATTACTTTAGAATCTGTAAGAACTGAAAACAATTCTTGGGTGTTAAAGAAGCTTTCTCTACTTTTTACATGCTTGACTGCATTGTCATCTATGCTGTCCTTATTTTTTTGTGTTGAGAGATGGGAATATTTTGAAACAACAGAAATAGGTACTTGAAAAATATTATCCTCAGTTGTAATGCTATTATGAGTCTCTTTGTTTGTTAAGGAATTTTTATCTATTTCAAATTTCTTATTAGTAAGTCTTTCAACATTCACTTTCAAGCTTTTAAACTTTGACAGTTTGTTTTTGTGTGTATTTTTTAATGAATTGGCTGTTGATGATTTTTCCTTATTTTCCTTGTCAGATTTACAATTATCTTCAAACTTTAAACTTTCTGAATCTGCTTCTCCCCATTTCTCATTTTCCTTATTAAGCAGCTCTCTATCTTGTAAATGTCCTTTTCTTAAAGATAAACAAATATTTTCGTTATGTTTTATTTCTATCCTTTTATTCTTTGTATCTGGAATGCAGTGGGAACAGTTTAATTTTTCATCTTGGTTAGCAATGTTTAGCTGTGAATTTTTAAAATCTAATTTAGTTTCTTTCCTTAATCTATTGTCTTCAATAATATTGTTCAAGTGTTCTTCTTCTGAAGTGTTGTTTTTGTATTCTACTGAAGTACTCTTATTACTGGTTTCATTATTAAGATTTGCATCCTCAGTAAAATTATTTCCAATAATTTTATCTGACAATTTATTAGAAACCTTTATCGTCTCTTTAATACAATTTTCTGTTTCAAGATGCCTCTTATTTCCTTGGGGAGCCTCTTTTGTTGCAGTTTGTCTGCTAAAAATCACACTTTCATTTGTAAGTGAATATTTTGATGTAGATGGTTCTGGAGATTTTAAACTGTTCTCAATGTCTTTCACTTTTACTTTATTGTCTTTCATATTTTCCACCTCTACCACATTATTGACATCTTTGTTAGATATGATATTACCCAATATTTTTCTATTAATACTATCTTCTTCATATTTTACAGATTCACTTCCAGTTTTCTCAGATGTACCACTGTCAGTTTCACTATCGATTATTATTTCTGGAACTGGATGGTCTCCTGTTAATACTTCAAATATATAAAAAGTTGTATTTGCAACTTTTTCATATTCAGTAGTAGGATCAAATCCTAGGGCAACTTTATCTCCAGTTTTTAGTTTAATGATTTCTTTTCCATTAATTCTTCTCCCATTGATGTAAGTACCATTTGTTGTCTAGAAAAAATAATTTAAAAAATAGACATGCAACTAATGCACCATTACAATTGTGTTACTTACATTTTGGTCCATAACTCGAAGACTTCCATCTTCCAGAATAAAGAAATTTGCATGATTTCGAGAAACTAAATTACTGTTACATCGAATCTGCATACTAGGCAGTCTACCAGCTTGAGATAAAGAATCTTTAAGATCAATCACACCTCCAGTTTTTATATTTTTCAACTTCCATTTTATCTTACTCATATTTAACTAGAATGTGTACCTTAAGAATCCTATGAGGTAAATACAGAACATTGTATGATAAAAAAAATTAATTAGGATAATAAATTCATTACCTGACCTTAATTATGATTTTATAAATTTAGTGTCTTATCTATACTACCATTTCACATATTTTATCAGTATTTTACAATTTCGGTACCTTATTTATTCATAAAAAGGAAAGATTAGTTATTTCTTTAACTACCAACAACACCATTAAATTTTCTAATAACTCTTTTTTTAAATAACTTATGAAAACAATAAAAACTTAACAAAAACTCAATGTTACCAGCACAAATACAAAAAATTGTACAAATTCAAATGTTTTTGTAAGTTCTTAATTGGTTAGATGTTATTTGTTGTCTTCGTCTCATAGATAAGCTTCGTCTTCATAGATATTTATATTAATAATATCAATGAGATTTATGATTATGAGCATATATAATACGTACTATAGAATCTTCCAGTTAATTTAAGTTAATGATAATTAATTCAAATTAATTACGTTTAATTGTGTACTATAAAAACACGTATTTAACTACCTATAATGCGACTAATTTTAATTTTATAGAAGAGTTCAGTTATCTGAGTGCAGTGGTTCAAGTCAGTCAATGAGATAAGTAGAAGTTATCTATGGTAGTAATTTTAAATTCCAGAAACTATCTATGCGCAAAGTCAGTTTCAAATTTTTAAAAAGTTAACCTCTGATTTTAGTAATAATCACGGTTACGTTTTATTACATTTTATTTATATATTTATATGTGAAAATTAAGAAATTACCATTAAATGAATATGAGTAAAATAAGTGATGAACATTTGAAAATAATTGATATATTCAATCAAGTTCAAAACACCAGTTCTTGCCATCAAAAATGTTTATTAAACCTTACTAAAATTTACAAGGTAAATATCATGTTACCTTTAAGACGACCATTTGATTTTAATATTTTAGGAGGATCCTGCAAGGTTTTTTATCCACTTTACCGATATTTTAACAACTTTATTGGTTCAAGATTATAAAACCAAAAACGACTATGTATCCAGGACTTTAGATTTTCTCAGTTCCTTTTTAACTAATGATGATAATACAGATCTTTTAGTTAAGACTGTGGAGTTTTTTTTAAGTGTATGTGATGAATCATTATTATGAAAAAGCTATTATGATATTGTATCCCAATAATTTCAAATCGGTTTCAGGTCCACGATATTGTTGATGAAAATGCACGATTTCGATCTTGTCAGTTCATAAATGTATTATTTAATCATATGGTAGGAGGTGAAATTACAGAAGAATTATGTGATGCTGTCCAAGAAGCAATGCTTGAAAGATTAAAGGTGAAATATTTAATATTTAATTTTTTGTAACTTTAAATTGATTTATTTTTGTTTTAGGATGGAAAAGCAGAAATTCGTCTTCAAGCTGTTACTGCATTGTATCGCTTGCAAAATCCTTCAGATTTGAATGATCCAATAATTAATTCATATATTTTGCATATGTCATCTGATTCAAACAGTAAGGTACATACTTTTTATGAACTTAACATTTACTTTAAAAAAAAAAACAAAAACGAAACAGAATTGTTATCTCTTAACAACTGGTTTAATTTTTGGAGAAATTCAATTTCATATTTGAAAGTTCTATCCAGATCTAGTATTTTGCTGATAAATTTTTAAACATTATAATTTTGCTAGTTTGTCATATAAAATTTTAAAGTAGTATATACATTATGAATATAAGTAATAAAGTAATATATTAAGGTACGCAAAGAATGTATAGAAAGGGTGGCCCCCAGGAAGGATGTTATACCCTACATTATTGAAAGGACAAAAGATGTAGATGTTCAGGTTCGAATTTCTGCTTTTTCTAAACTGGCAAAATTGGTGAAGTTTATGAAGGTATACTTTAAATTAAATATTCAAGTAGGTATTTTTAATATTTCTTTATCTAGATAGGAGATCGACAAAATGTTATAAAATACGGTTTTCGAGATCCTTCTGATTCCGTTAAAGATTTCGTTTCAAAAAAAATGATTACAGGTTGGCTTAGTATTTATAAAGACAATATTTTGGAATTATTGAAAGCTGTTCGTTTGGATGCCGACGAAAATGATATTAACGAATCGATGGTGACAATTAATTACATTTTAAGTAGCTTATTTAGGTAAGTAAGTAGTAATTGCAACTTTAATTTTTAAAGTAATTTTAGGTATATAAATTAATTTTTAGAACCCAAACACAGAAAGAACTTCTTAGCATATTACCATTGGGAGAAAATAGAGTTATAGACTTTGAAAATCTTAATTGGGAAACCAGCACTTATTGGAGATTTTTTGCAGGAAAATTACGAGAAAATACTGAATATGAAAACCTGTTGAATGAAATCCTTCCAGAACTTGTAGAATTTGTAGTTTACATTAAAAAGCAAGTTATTTATTTCTTGTTAAATATATTTCAACAATGATAAATATTTCTTTAGTCGCATTATACAATGTTTTGATGTGTCTTATAAAAAAAAAATGAAATGAGATGAAAAACATACTTGACTGACGAAGGAGATTTACAAGAATTTTTTTAATTTTCTTGAGCAATTGAATTAGAATTTCTTTTCAGATTTTGTATGTGGGTTTCCCAAAAAAGCGAAACGTTGAACATGTTAGAAGTGAATTACATTTTAAGAGAAATGTTTGAAATAACTTTGGGCTATGACATATCAGATGTTGCTTCATGCAAAGCTCTAAATGAACTTATACAAATATTATTATTAGAAATCAAGTGGATTTCTGAAGATACAATAAAACAAATAATTAAAAATTTAGATCAATCGATTCCAGATGCTGCTAAACAGATTCAGTTCGTTTGTGACGTTATTTCTCAACTTCTTAGCCCACCACCTACTGAAGAGGAAATCGCAAAGAATAAAAACAAACAGTTTAAGGTATTTAATGTTAAAAAATTAAATTTTTTTATAATCAAATTATCGTTCAATTCTTATTATGTTTGAATTTAAGATAGCGGAATTAAAATTAAAACAACACATTCTAACAGAAGAACAAAAGGAGTGCATAAGAAAAGAGGATTTTATAAAAGCGGCTGCAATTAAAACTGATATTCAGAATGTTCAACAATTAATGAACCATCTCGAAGCTGCAGACTTGGAAGATGAAAACAATGAAACCAAAACTTACGACGCCAAAAGCCTAGTTAAATGTTTAGATATAATTATGGCGCTTTTATTATCTCCAAAAATTGTAAAATTTTCCAAAGAATTGAGAAGTTTAAAGGATGATGTGATTCAAGATTTACTTATACACCCTATTGAGTTAATTAAAATAAAGGCTTTGAAATGTTATTCTCTTTGCAGTATTTTGGATAGTGGTACAGCCGAGACTGGAATCCACATTTTTAGTGCTCGTGTAAGTCGTTAATTATTTATAAATAATTATGTAGTACCTTTTTCAATCTTACCTTACAGAAATAAATATTCTTCTGAATTTTATATATGTACTTGTAATCTTGAAGGTTTTATCATATCATGCCGGAGACGAATGTGACATTGAAACTTTGATAACCTCGATAAACACTGTGGGTGATTTGATTGTACTTTTTGGATCAAAACTTGTCGTTGCACCTGAAGACCAAGGTCTTACAGACAGTATGAATGAACAGCAGTTGGAAATATTTGCAGGTGGATCTTCACTCACAAACATTATTCAGGCTTTAGTTGATTTAATGGATGATGAGGTAAATATTTTCGTTTTGGTGTTACATCCTAGTTAGGGAGGGGGGAGTGTATGATTTTCACTAAAAACTTATACAGTTGACGCTTAAAGAGAGAGAAAAAAAGAGAAAGAAGACACAACTGTTAACCGTTCGATCTGGTGTTCATGGCTTTGAACAGCAACACGCGTTTTGCAAAGCACTTATTTTGCTTGTTACTAATATTAGATATTGCATGTAACGCATCACTAGCGACTACTGTAGGACTCGTGTTTTTTTTTTAATGCGTTTTGTATTTTTCTCTGTAACTTTTAGTCTTTATTAATTTTTTTGGTACTTCAGTTTGTAAATATTTATTTATGCATATATAGCAAACTTAACTATTTTGCAAATTTGTAGATTCCAAAAGTTCAAGAAGCGGCAGGATATGCCCTGTGCAACCTTATAATGTCTAGACGAATTCATTCTTCTACATTATTTTCACGAATGATTTTGAAATGGTGTAGTCCTGTATCAGGTTTGTTCACTAACACAGAAATTATTTATTTTATAATTATTTTTCTCCTGAGTTAATAAAAAACGATTGTTCTAACTTTTATATTCTTACGTGTATTTTTTAGATGCAGTTGAAACAGTTCGATTAAAGCAACTAATTGGTTGTGTGCTTGAAAAATTTCCTTCCTTGCCAGAAGCTGATACCGTTATAGAAAAGGCATTTATTCAGACCATAAAGGTCCTTCTTGAAGCTCCTGATGATAGTCCTTTGTCTGACGTTGACATTAATAAAGTCATGAAGTGTATGTTAGAACTGTCTTACAGCAGTCAGGCAAGTTTACTCCTTGTTTTTTAGTAATATTATTTTATGAATTATTCTCAAAAAAGTTATATAAGCTTTAATTATTTTTTTGTTTTAGAATGATAACGCTCATAATAGTTTAGCAATCGCACTTTGCCAAGAACTGATAGATAAATCAAAAAGTCCTGCGTCGCTGTACTTCTCAAAAGCACTACTATTTCTGCGACTTTCTCCTGAAGATAAAAATTTAATTGATCATCTTTTAAAACTTTGCGACACTATAAGAGACGTAAGAAATATTCTTCCTAATATTGTTGAGTAATGTTATAATTAAATAATTATTTTTTCAGAAAATTGTTAATAAGCAAATACTTAACAACATCATTAAATTTACAACACGTTTGCTAAGTTTGTCTGACCAGAATAATTCTTTAGTTAAAACTGATAAAGAAATTTTAAAAGAAAAGAAATCAATTGAAAATTAGTTTATATTTTTTTATATATATTTCATTTCATTAATAAGCATTAAAACATGTGTATGTACAACATATAAACATTAAAATTTTATTCTTATCTTAGGATACTTTTAATTCTATTAGAATTAGAATTTCTATTCAAACAAAAATGTATTGCATTGGAGCTAAAACTTATTCTACTTCTTATCTTCAAGTTACAAAACTAATTTTAATAAATATCAACAGATGGTGGATTTCCAAATACATACTTCCAACTTACAGGAATAATTACATTATCTATTTTAATATTTAAATATTTTGAAATAAGTGACAACATTTGCATGGCATCAGGTCTATTGTCTCCTTCTGAAGTGTATTTAACAAACATTGTGCATCTAACTTGATCTGATAAGACTTCAAACAATTTTGTGGCATAACCTGAACCATACACTAGATATTTTCCAGTTTCATCAGCTTCTAACTGTTTCAGCTCAGATAATAACTCACTTGAACTTGTTTCATTGGTTAAATATATATAAGGACTATGGCCTATGTTGTGCATTTCATACGCAAAAGTACTTGCTAATATAATAACGTTTTTCAATTGCCATTGTAATATTTCCAGTTTAAGACGTTTTAAGAAGTCTAAAGCTAAATTAAATTCAATTGTAGACCGTATCTGTATTGCTGCAAGTTTTTGTTCTTTATTTATAAACAGTTCACATGCAGTGCAAATTTCGTTTTTATCGTCATTAATTGGATTGTTTCCTACACACGGTACAATAGCAGGGTGCCAAATAATCGCCACTTTTTCCATTTTTAAAGAAGCCAGTAATAAATCAACAGTAAGCTGTCCAACATTTCCAACAGAAACACTTGGTATTATGAGAGTATAATTCTCGAGACTTAATTCCGAAGGTACAACAACGTTAATAAACTTACTCATTTTTAACAATGTTAATTTCTTGACCAAATTAATATAAATAAATGAACTAAAATAAACTTACTTTAAAAATTGATAGGTTAGAAACATAAACTGCTTTTAGCAAGTCAACAATTATCTATGTCAACCATAGATTAAATGTCAACAATCTATAATCATAAATAATAGATACACAAAAGGTAATCTATAACACAGATATCTATAAATCATAGAATGGGTTAAGGTTGTATCAGTTGTTCAGTTTTTAAGAATGTTGTTTGTGTAAGCAACTAGTTAGTTTTAAAATTCTTTGGTTTTAAAAGTGTAGCGTGTCTGTATCTTTCTTTATCCGTGTTCGGAAATTATGCCTATTTTGTTATTATTTTTATCGATTTCATTAACAATACACAGTGCGTTTATTAAAGTGTTCATTAGTGATTAAGGACCAACTTCGTCTTTTCTCGATTATGTAGGTAAGCTTTGATTATTGCAGATAATTATTGGAATAGCGTACTAAGATGTCCTCTCCTCTCTCAATTTGTTATGAATATTATGATTATGAAATAAACTAAAAAAGCACAGGTTCATTGGTTTAACATAGGTTTTCCTCCTTTGATTGGAACATCAATGGAGTCGTTTATCCATTTCGTCGATTACTGTGGTTGGCAAGTTGTAATTTTCGGGATGTCAGGGAGGATGGCATTAGTTGGCGAAGCGTTGGATAGACGACTCCAATGGTATTATCATAAAAAGAGAAAAACCTATCCCATGGGATGTCTATTAGGCTCCAATATCCACTGCTGTTCAGATAATTCTGGCCGTAGAAGTCTTAACCTTTTTAAAGGGAAATTACAATGTTGTAAAATTCGTCGATTACTATTCATATTTGAGTAGTTCAGGTTTGCCCTAAAGATGTATGAACTGTAAAGGTTACGAAACGTCACACATAATAAAACCTATACGAATAAAATTTGAATGATCTAGATTCTAGAACGGTTAGGGGAAGAAGTACGAAGTCCTAGAACAGTAATACAATGACAAATGTTTTACTGCAACTACAGCACAATTGAATCAAAAAATGTTAAATTAGGATAGGTTGGGTTAGGTTAAGTTAATAATATTCGATATTTCTCTTCCAACCCCTCTCGCTCAACCTCCTGCTACCACCAAAAACACCTGTAGTGTTTTACTAGGTCATTCCTGTGGCTTCCACCCACTTTCCGCCTTTTTACCTTATATTATACATGAGGATGCTACATTAGCTATCTATACATATATAATTTCTAGTATATATATACGAGCACAATCAATAAATATAAACAAAGCAAACAACTGCTTAATAAGAAAGTTAATTTTTCGTAATCATATCCACAATCACAACGGGTCAATCCCCAGTCTCCACTAACATCTCTAAAACTTAGAAACTTGCTTCTTCAGCTGGAAGTGGTACGCTGCTGCGCCTAGGTTATTGGTTACTGCCGAAATTGTTTTTAAAAGAAGCAGTTTAAAACAATAATTTTAATATTAAAGCACAGATAACGGTAATCTACAGGTACATTTGCATATATGCATATAAAAAAACTGAAGTATTTATAAAAGTATCGAAATAACTTTAAAATCATTTGGTTATTTGCATGCTCAAACGATTATTTTTTATCTGTCTGCTTGTGCGGACTAATCTTAAAAAAATATATGGAAATTGATTATTGAAAAAGATATAACTTTATAAAAAGTTGTTTATTTATTTTAAAAATAGAAAATACAACAATACTCAAACTATAAAATCTTAAATTATCATGAAAGTCGTTACTTAATATGAGACAAATTATACTTATTATTTAGAAAGGGTACTAAATTATATTATCTAATTAATGCACCAATATGGCACGTAATTGTATAAAAACTAAAAGGAAGGGTCCTTATATATTATTTAACTTTTCGGGCTTACATTACAATATGAGCTGGTTGTAAGTTAAATCGTAGAATCCTTTAACAAGGAGTTTACATAAATTTCCTATTTTTACAAAGACGTATTAAGTTATATTGAAAATTGTGCTATTTATATAAGAAAGTAGTAAAATATAATAGTATCTTTATAAATAAATGGTTTTACCTTAAGTCTAATAATAATGTTTCATAAAATTTGACGCTAGAGGATATTTGTATCTGGTGTAAATTGTCTTAGATCTTTAATTTTATCTTAAAGTAAGTTACAAATTAAAATTGATAAACTATTATTGCTTAAATACGCATTTATAAATGAAACTGTTGCAGTTTTTCGTGTAATAGGTGCATCACAGCCTTAAAAGGGAGAAATGGCCCTTTCTTTTTAATGTATAATCTTTGATTTCGTTTATTAATTATGTAAAATTATTTTATGGAAATTGAAATGTAACTACTTTTAACTGGCACATAAGGACATATGTATGTAAGTGAAAGTAGATTTATTTAATAAGTTAAATAAGTTCTTAATACATCATTCCCGGATGAACCCCGCTACCTCGCTGGAAGTAGACGTTAGGATTAGTGCTTAGGGTTTGTTCTAAAGTTGTATAGACGTTGCCATCATCTGGTCGCAGAAAAACACCACCTGCAATTAACAGAAAATATTACAGTAAATTGACTGTCTGTTATTCAGTTAGTAAACATTTGGAGGGTTGATCGCCCTAAATTAGTAATAAACATTTGAACTACTTAATACACAAGATTATAAAAGTATTTTATTATTGAAGAAATTTATTTTTTCATCTTTTTGGGCTACAAAGAATAATAAGTTAAATAGAAAATTTAACTTTGTGATTAATAGTTTATAATTTATTATAACAACCAACATAAGGGCATTTAGCAATATCTACATTGTTCTGTTTGGTTACGTGTTTACTACGAAGGGTTAGAGGGTTTTGGTTACGCCGTGTATTCAGTTCGACAAGTCCAAGATATCCTTTCATACCAATTTGTCTTATGGACTTAGTTGAATATTTTTATGTTCCACTACTTGTAGAAATATAATACAGATGGCGTTTAGCACGTTATTTGTGGTAATTTATATCTACTTTATTTTATCGATTTTTGTTAAAGGTCTAGGTAGGTGGTTGCATACGTAGTGTCAATCGGGTTACTCGCTTGATCTAGCATTGAACTTCAGGCTATTTTTTGAATTATGTTTGTAAAATAAGACATAAATGAACGATCAAAAATCGGAGAAGTTTATAAAATGCTTGTCGACTGCATTTGTACTGTTTTAAGAAAGAAAAATATTCTGAACATGAATGTTTTGTTGATTGTGTGATCATTGTTATTTATTGTATGATTGATTAACGATCATTGTTATTAATATATTGTTCATTTTTTAGATTACATAGGAAAAAGGTAGGATTATGCGTGAACTTTTAGTCAGTACCAAATTTTAATGTACCTACTAAACCATAATACCACAGTGGTTATATTAATTTTCGAAAAATAATTTTTCAGAAAAATTTGACCAAAAAATTTTTAAAAATAGAGAAGTGATACCAAGATACTTCGTTTTAGGACTAGAAATAACAGTTGATGGAAAAATTAAAGTGTAAATGCTATAACTAATGCATTTCACTTAAACATAAATCTTTAACTTCGTGAACAATAATCTAATCTAGGTCTACCTCTTCTTCTATCTCTTTTTCTTGTTTGTTTCCAGTTTCTCATCACAGTCTAGTTTTATGAATTCCTAGAAATGTAATCACTCTATTTTTCAATTGTTTTATAAATAATTCATCATCAAAAGGTTATCAGTCCTAAGACTGGTTGGACACGTACCTCCACTCTTTCCTATCCTGAGCTAAACTTCGCGTTTCCCTAACACTAGAACAGCCGATATCCTTACCTATTTGCGAAGAGTAATCTAATCTAGGTCTACCTTTACCCCTCTTAACTCCTCCTTCTGCCACTAATATGTCTCTGACTAGACCTTCATGCCTGAGAAGGTGTCCTACCAACCTATCTCGCCTATTTTTTATTAACTTCCATAGAGTCCTCTGTTCTCCTATTCTTTCCAATACCTCTTCATTTCTAACCTTTTCTACCCACTATATCCTCATCATAAATAATTGTCGTTGAATTAAACATCGATTGGAAAATCTTTTAGATTCGATTTAATTAGATGCCCTTGACATTGAAACATAAGTTTAACATCCTTTATAGGTACATATTTATAAATATAATCTGGATTCTTTTGATCGCGAAAAAAATTATATACGCCCTTGCTTCTAGCCTGAACACCTTTTAAAGTTTTGGTTTTTGGTTATTAATATCATTCGGTTTTATTTTATATGCACAAAATTACCCAATAATTAACACGTCTATCAAATAATATGATCACTAACGCTAAATAAAAGATCTATACTTAGTTACAGGGTGTAACAGAAATAAGTGCCTAGCTTGCAGGAAATAATAAAGCATTTTAAAACATGAAAATTAAGTAATTGTTTGTATGTCCAAAATTTCACCGTTTTCAAGAAAAAAATAGTTGAAAGTACAGGTAAAAATTGAATTTCGACCCTGGCAAAATAAATACGGTCCGCAACGCCGCATTCAATCACATGGTGATTACTGGAATCAGTGATTATTTGTCAGATTAAATTTAGATGATCAGTATATTTATGTTAACAACCGCAACCGTTTATTCTTTTAACTTTTCTACTGTGTATGAGGTAATTGATGTGAAATTCAGCAATACAACATCAATCATTAATGTAGGTCAGTTACAGTAGAACAGTTGTTGTTATAATAATGTGACATGGTACGTATTTACGGGTTTGAACCATATCGCTGCTGTAGGGATGAAATTCTCGATTTCATAAAGGACGATCTCCAAAATAGTACATGCGAAATAGCGGGAAGATTGGCTCGTTTCATGCGACAGTGGGACAAATTTTAAAAGAACAGTTGCTGCATTCGTATCATTTGCAGCGAGTGCAAGCCTTGCATTGATAATAAAACTTAAAAACTGAAATAACTCAAAAGCATAATTTAATATTAACGCATTAATGGCAATAATTACGATATTGTATAGTATCTGTTACAGTTTAATGACTACATATCGATATTATAGCACAATTCCAAGTTTTATTGGTAAGCAGTAGAATTTGAGTGTTAATCTAGACAATTTAAAAATAGTTATTTATCTTTATAATGTGTATTGTTTATTTGTTGTATATAAAAAGCTAAAAATTTCGTAATTATGAAATTTCTAATGTGAGACGGCCTATTATGAAAGCCAATTTAGATAGTAATAGTGCAATGTAACTGTCGATTAATTTAGGTTTTGCCTTTTCTTGCGAATAGATATTTCGATAAGCAGGACATTTTGTAATACAAAGTAAAATATCTTCTACCTTGGATACATAAAAAATGATGCTAATTAATAAAAAAGTTTCTCAAACAGTTTTTGCTAATAAATAACCTTTTAGGACCGATGACTTTTACAGTATTCTAGTGACGTAATACGATTGACGTCTCAATCGTTCTTAAAAATCTATCAAATATGCAACAGTTCCATTTGTGGGTCAGCTTAGGTTATATTTTTAATTTTTGTTAACCAGTTTAAGATTAGTTAAAGCGTTAATATTGTTTTGTAGGATACATCGGTAAGCTCAAAATTCCCGTGAAGGAATGCTTGACTGACGTCTAATTGATTTAATTATTTCTTTAAATACCATAGAATGTGTCGCGGATGCCGCGTTTCTTAAAGCGGAATGATCTTTATGTGTAGTAGTTCCGCTAAAACTCACTTGCGGGTAAAAAGAAAAGATAACTTAATGTCAATGTCTCGACTGATGCTGACATTGTAAACTGTAAACGTCGTCATTGTGACAATTGCCAGTTATTTCACGACAGCTTTAAAATGAACGTTTAAGGGGAAACCCCGTTACTGTGTAACCTCTTAAACAACAGCTCTAAAAGTTACACATCCGTTCAACATTAATCATGAAAATATATTCTAAAAATTGTATCTTCTTTCTTAAACAGTATAGAATTTGAAATTATTACTATCTTGACTTTTTGTATTCAAAAGAACAATCTTTTGGAGTACCTCATAATTGGTGTTACTCAACAATAAGTCACATAACCGCTTAGAGCAGCGCCGGCTTACAATATGTGGCGCCCTTAAACAGATATTTACGTCATTTATTATTTTCCGAATATTTTAAAATGTTTAATATTTCTTTTCATTAAAAAAAATTGCTGAATTTTGCCTCCCATTAAGGCAGTGGTTTCCAACCTGCGGGGCGCCCCCCCCCTAGGGGGGCGCGAGACTGTTGCAAGGGGGGCATGCAGCTGTTTCCAAAATATTTTCGAATACAAACCAAAAAAGTCGAATAGGTGTAAAAAATGAATCAGCAAAATAGGTATACGTAATCCACAATCCTCGCCGCGAAAATGATTATTTCTTAACATAAATAANTATATTATTTTTTAGCCCATTGAATAAATTATATCAGTTGAGTATTTATGAAATTAGAATGTTAGAAAAATTAAACAATTTTTTTAAGGGGGGCGCAGATACAAAAAGATTGGAAACCACTGCCTTAAGGCATGAGGCTTAAGGGTGCGGTACGTAGACGCTGAACGCGGCGATATAGAAAAAATTTAGTAAGTGTTAGAAATGAGGTATTATAGGCGGATGCCGTGGTTGCAGAAGGTCAGAAATGAGGAAGTTTTATAAGAGAATGATGAGCGCTATGGAAGTTAATAAGAGAGAGAAAAATAAGATGAAAGACAACCATTGAGACATGAAGGTTTAGTTAGAGCCATATCATGGAACTGATGGTAACTTTATGGTGATGTTGTAGGTAATTTTTTCTATCAATATTTTTAATTTGTTATGCCAAATTTCGTATTTTTTTCAAGGAATAACATTGATAGCAATACAGATCCCCAAATGTTTTGGCTGTTACCCAATAGTTATCAAATTAACAATTTGAATTGAGAAGTATTTTTGTTTATCTTAAATAATTTCGCATGTTCGCGTATTCTTTACATCGATTTTCTTGCACCACAAAATATTACTAGTTTCAATGTGTCACCAGACACTTGCGGCCTCGGTCGTAAAATGCTATTGTAACTGTGCAAAATGTCTTTGTAGCATAGTTGCGAGTAAAAAAAAAATGAAATGGTTATGACGTTATGAGGAGAAACGCGAGTTATGTATACGTATGTTTTTATGGCAGCGACCTTTGAAAAGCCTCTCATCCAGAACGGCATTTCTCAAGGTTGGATCAGTAATAACTGGACCCCGTTTTTATTTAAACCTTCGTCCAGGTCCATAATTCGGAAATTAAGTGCGTCATGTCTAACTGATGCCAACGGCAGACGGCTGCAGGGGGCAATCTCCAACCTCTTTGGTGTATTACCAGCACATTAATTAAATCTCAATGCCAGTGCATACAGTGTTTTCAATTTAAGTAAAGGATGTGTGAGATAAATTGGTAGGGATTGATATTATTTTTACTGCTAACGTTTTATAAATTACACGAGATTCCACTTTATCAAGGTTTGAATTATCTTCTTCTTCATATTCTCCAAACCGATGTGTTTTTCATGCAGAAAATATAGCATGTAACAGAGTTTATTTAGGTACTAGTAGCGCCACGGTGCGGTAAAAAAAGGGTTTGTATTATTTGGAGGAATAAAGTTTAAAGATAGCAATTGACCTGTCCAACTTTGGAAGAAGAGAGTCCAGACCCTATGTAACTCTTTCTTAATGTAATTATTTAAAAAGAAGATAAATTTCAGGTTGTTATTACGAAATTGTGGCAAAGAGTGAAATGCAAATTTAATTCAAATTTAACTCCATTTTGTACCTTTTAAAATTTTATTGTAGTTACATTGCCATACGTAAGAGTCCAGCTCAAAGGTTTTATATTCCTGTTTTTGATTTAAGGTTATTCTCCATTTAATTTTAATGAAAGGTCGCTGGCAGACATTCCAAGAATTCGACATCGGTACGTACCTACGCAGAGAATAACCAACGTATTTTACATATTATGTTTATTAAACCCGTGATATATCTTTGCATGGAATGCTGTGAATCCCACTATAAGCCTTTTCGATGTTGTCTTATTCGATCTCCTCCCGATTAGTTAATGCTTTTAATATATAATTAGTAGTTACAAAATACGCCGCCAGCACGTGTCTTCGGCTCATGTATCAAACGTGTAATTATCTCAGCAACGCCGACTTACGTTAGCACCATTCTGCGTTGCAACGAATTGAAAGGAAGAATATTGTGCGAATCAATTTTTTTCCAACGGTAGCACCTCAGTCAAGTCTTTTTTCCAATAATAAAAATTCTATGCTTCCAAAAGGATTTTTAGGATTAATTGAGAAAGTGATCTAAATGAATTTTAATATAAAACGTAAGAATAAGAAGGTTCACAAATTTTTTATCTATTTAAAAAATTCCAGTGAAGGAATGCAACCAACATTATAACCTAATTTAATTGTTACAAAATCTGAATAAAATATACGTATATGCGACCAACCATACACCTGGTTGCAGACATTTAAACCCGGTCAATTTATTTCAATTGTTTTCTTCCCCGCGAACACGCCAAAATTGCTGATTTTTAAATAATGATTCTGATTTAACGAAAACATCTCACATATTTTAAAACGGTAAGAAATCGTCTCGTAATAATAATCTATAGAAACAAGAGATAACCGATATCCAATAATACAATAATCTTTTAATGTTTTTTAAAAATTTCATGCAGTTTTCTATATAACTACAAAGTACTTGGCTACTTGAATACCAATGCCGTGGGTTCTGTTTTATATGTTTAGATCCACATCGACTAAATATTGCTGTTAAACGTTTAATTTTGTGCATATGTAAAACTTTAGAAACTACAAATGACAGAAACTTGAAAGGATAAAAAACGTCCCTCGTACTTTTACGAAAAAGAAACCACTGAGAGTTTAAAACAAACTATAATACTTCGAATTTTGTAAAAACTAGTGAAGTAATAATTCTTTTCATTTCAATTAGAGCGTGAAATCGTTTTTTCCGATTTTACGCACGATTTTAATAAATTATTAAAATGCGTAAATTTTCAAAGCCACAAGATAGCATGAGAAGTTTGTAAAAAAATTTTAAATATCACCGAATTTATTATTGAAAAATCTCAAGTAGTTTTATTAGTAACACAATGATGTTCATAAATTGACAGAAATTTCTTGCAGGTACTAATTTCACTAATTTTGATGCGGATATTAATTTGAATAAAATATTTTCACAACCGATAAATAATTCTTACATCAATACATGAATGCCGAAACTTTTGCTACTTTTTTTTTTCGGTATCTATTTTCATTAGAATATAATCATAAAATAACAGAAAATTTATGCATCGATCGAAAGGGAGCCCGTAAGGTAGAATCAAAAGCTGAAGTTATTTAATGCATATTAAGCATGAAATGTATATTGCATATTTGATTTGAAATAAGATTAGTTGGATTTCGACCAGACACGATAACTATCAATTATTACTTTTCAATTACATTGGCAGAAATGTTCGCGTATTTTATTAGTTTAATTAGGAAGAATGTTTGCTAAATTGCATAGTAACCTATTAACTATAAAAAAATCGGGTAAGTACCGTTAAAGTAATAACAAAAAATAAAGAAATAAAGTGTTAAATGGTATATTTACTGTAATTCTTGTTAAAAGTCATTACTTGCACATTACAACGTAACAGTAGTTTACACATGTTATTCGCAAGTAATTTTACTGCGTATTGACTTTATTTTAAAACTTATTTATTTTTTACTTCAAATCAAAAAAATTAAACATATGCAGGTAAAGATATTGTCTGCGTTTTAAGTATGTTCAATTCCTCCTAATTTCAACCTTTTTATTTACTTATAGGCAATTAAGAACAAAGCCTTAACCTGATAGACCGTGGCTTAGTAGAAGACAAGCTTTAAATAGACCTGAAAATTTTTTCAAGTAAAAAATGATTTTTAAATATCGCTTTGGAAGACTAAGATTTTAATATACGTTTGTACCTTTACAGAAACCACACTTTTGCGCACAGAATGTCTAGTTTAAAATTCCGAAGTAAAATTTCTAAATGTGTTGATGTGTTCTTATTTTCATTTGTTAAAACCAGTAAAGAAAATATTCCTTAGTAAATTAAAAGCAGATTTTCTAAGGTGGTGAATACTGAGCGTAAAAAACTGTTAATTCGCATCTCTTATTATGACATCAATTCATAAGTAAACCGTGCCAAGTAATATAAGTACGTAACAGATTGTAAAAACTGCATATTGCTTACAGATCTGTTATGGTTTATGTTTTCTTGCAGATGCAGTAATTTACGTGTAAGTTCTGTATCGAATTTCCTGAAAAAGCAACAAATAATTAATTAAAATGACATGATGTTGTAATAATCAAATCATGAGAAATAACACAAAATAAAATTTAACAATAAGAGATATTTTATTAGGTGCGGTGAAAAAAAGAAGCAAGCAAATTGATTAGTAAAATTATATAAACATAGCAAGCAGTGACATGAAAAATATATATGCACTGTACTACGTATACAAATCCACAAAATGTAATTTTTAGGTCCATGACCCGTCTACAGCGACCAAACCTGACCTAACCTACAAATAAAAATATTGGTTAGTTTATTTAATATTTTCCAGTTCAGTGCATATATATCTTTATGTTCGAAGCAATAAATATTTACATTACACACCTGGAAAATACCTTGAAGGGTAGTAACCCGGCGGGCCGGGGAAGAAATGACATGTTCTAGAGTAACTGGGTGGAGCCGGGTACAAGATGATGCGATCTGAAATATACAGTGCAATCTGAAATTTGTGCAAATGTATGCGCAAATTATAAAGATACAGAAAGGCACAATTGAAAACAGACTCATTTCAATTGCTAATCGTTTAACTATCATCTGATTGTATGGCTCTGAAATGCTGGGAAAATAATGTCGAGTCATGATCATCGTTTTACTTTCGCAAACTACAAGCTTGTAACTAACCATCCGTTCGATTTTTCCGTCTGACATTGCTTGTCTCTGACTTTAAGCTTCTTTTTCGGTTCGTTAGATCAATATCATACTCGGTGCAGAACTGTTTTCGTACAGGTGCTTGCTCCTTACATCATACAAGCAGTATATGTTCGTAAACCAAGTTGTCTTTTGAATTTATTGTGCACAAATACACACAGATAAGAATGATTCTGCTCGGACATCGCTTGGTCCTTCGAGCCGGACTATTATTTTTCAGTAAATATATTTTGAAGTTATTAGAAAGAAGTTTTGGTAATTCTTCTTTTTTATCGAAAAAATAAAAACACAAAAAAGACGAATAATTGACGATTTCAATAAAATTGTTTTTTGTTATGTACATATTACAGAATAGTTGCGAGTCTGTTTTCTTTTGCGTAGATATATTAGATGGAAAAAAGTTTAAGAATAAATATTAACACTAAATAAGGCCATTATCCAATTACGTAGTAGAAAGTAGAATTAAAACGTTAAAGTAAATTAACTATCACAAAATGTAATACTTAGATACATGTTAGAATGAGAAACTAAAAGAATAAGGAGTAAGCAGTTAATTTAATAGTATGAAAAGTATGAGGCATGTGAAGATACTGATTCTTATTAATATGCAAAAGTATTAACTGTTAGCATGTGATAGGCGTAATTAGAATTATTGGAAATTAATGCAAAATGTTTTATTCACATGTAGTGCTAGCAACATTAACGAGGTATCGTGTTGACTTAGCCTAGAAAAATGGAAATTTAACGGAAACTTGGCTTATTAGTAAACAGATGATACAATTAATGTTTTTGTCACTTAATAATTTACAGAGAGCAATAAAATACAAAATTAAATGGAATACATGCATACATATAATGAGATAAAGAGAGTTACCCTAAATACGGTTTTACAGAATCACAACAAATTACCAATAATTGATTCAATTTCGTTGTTAAACGAAGTAAGTTATTTACAGAGTTAACTTAACCACAGCAGGGCTTTACGTAATGTATCGTATCTTCTGTCAGATTGATTCCATAATTAGAAGTTTCTTTTGAAATATCCAAGCTTTAAGCTTGTAGAGTAAGTACAGAACTCACCCTAAACATTATTTTTTAGAGAAAAAAACTTGTCGCATGAAGCCTTAATATTGAAAATACTACAAATGACGCAGTAAACGCCATCTGTGGCACGATGCTACATTTTAGGATTACGTATACTTCACTTGTGTGGATATCTACTTGCTGATAACGAATCCCGGCGTAGCCAACCTCAACGTGATGAGCACGTTAGCTTAATTGAATAAAATAATTCGAAGTAGTCTGTATTCTGTCGAAACTGCCAGACGCGGATCGCGATTTCGATCTTTTGAGCTCAAAAAGGTCGAGCTCAAAAAGATTAAGCTCAAAAAGATCGAAATCTCGATCCGCGTCTGGCAGTTTCGACAGAATACAGACTACTTCGAATTATTTTATCCTTAATATTGACTTGAAATATCGTAGGTATTACTTAGAAGGCGTGATTAAGACAGTTTTATTTTTGATGATTGAAATGTGTTTTAGAAAAGAGCCACGTAAGCTTATTGTAAGTTATAATTGCTATACGTTTTATAACTGATTTGCTCAAGAATGCAATATGTTTTCTATTGTATAACTGAAGTTAATGGATAAAAGAGTCAAGAGCGTATAGCAGTTACTTCCGACTTATTTCACTGAATTAGAATCTAATTCAAAATTTTCTCAACATGATGCTAATTCAACTTGTTTCAGATATTTCAAGCGTTAGACAAGGCCTTACTCGCTTTTTTGCTTAGCATTCGGGAGAACACCGGTTAGATTCCAGGTCCCTCTAACCTGGTACAAATTCTGTGGTTTCTTTGAATTACTTAGACAAATGCTTGGTCAGTAATATCCCATAGAATACTTTCTTTTCATTCGTCTTATCTTTCTCACCCCAATCACCACCCACCCCTTTCCACGACTCCTAAAAAGAGGCTGACTTCGGCCCTATCCCCCGATGTAGTCTGGGGGGGATTGTCCACCGCCCAGCATTAGTAGCTAGTGGTAGTTAAACACGTAAGGTTAAAATTTTTCTTTCAGTAATCTATCGAGATTATGGCGTTCTGACGAAACCAAATAGATCGAAATCGCAATTAGTTTAGGCTGGTCATTGAACATGTACAAAATAACTAGTCTATCTGCTTTACGTCTTCATTAACTTAAAAAAAAAAGCCTTGAAAAAGTTCGACAACTTGGGAAAAACATTGGCGGTTGTTTTTCAATTAATAAATCAGTTTTAACTTCCCCCTTCCCTTTTGGATTTCGTTTCACTCCAACTAATAAAATTATTTCACTTCTTCAATATTCTCAGACAATGAAGCCTATACTTCATAAATAGATTCGATGCGAGATATGGTGCGGTCTCAATAGTAACCCCATTAAGTACAATAGGGTATATAATAGTCATTTATTACGTGGTTTGTTAAATATGAATTGCCAAAGCCGGTAGCGGAAGTCAACTAGAAATTTAGATTATCGCATTGTATGTTGCAACTGAGATGATGATAATTTTATTGTGGGCAGTTGTTATGGTGTAGCACTCATCTAATATTCCATTAAAAGAACCGTTACAATGGCACAAACGCCCAGAAATACGGGATTATAGATTTGCGAGGAATAAAAGATACGTTGAATAGTTAAATAACAAGTACCTACCATACATCTCTTTGTAAATTATTTATTTAGATGTAGGTATGTTATTTGCGGAAAAATGTTGCGGCAAATTGGACTAACTAATTATTACATTTTTGTAGTAATAAAGGTGAATTCATTATAGAAGACTGAGCATTTTTTTGTTGTCGAAATTTTTTAATATATGTTTAGTGCATACGAAATATAACAAAATTTAACTAATGGTTGTTATACAAGAGCAAAGTAATTATGATGGGCTGAGTTCAATCCCCATCTATAGCAGGTCCCACACACGATTGTACAGGGTGTAACAGAAATAAGTGTGCCGAGGTTTGGAGGCTGTCAATTAGATGTAATACATAATCGAGAGACAATTACGATAATTTACGATCCGAAGCCGGTCCTGTGCGTGAATTAGCAACATAGATGTCTAATATTGAATAGCGTAGTGCAGCGACATGGTTCAATCCCGTAAACACGTATCATGCCAGATTATTGTAACAACTGTTCTACAGTGATTGATCTACACTAATAATTGATGTATTGCTGAATTAGTTTATTGAACTGCACAAGGTTTAAACGTTAAAAGAATAAATAGCTACTAAAGGTTGGTTGTTAACATAAACAATCTTAAACACGCTTAATCTAATTTAACAAATAAATAATATATGAGCAAGAAAATACAAAACAAATACTACATTCATGCTATTGCAGTCATTGAGTGCAGCGTTGCGAACCGCATTTATGAACCAGGGCCGGCATTGAATTTACCTGTACCTTCAATTACGTTTTTCTTGAAAATGGTGAACATTCGGACACACAAACAATTACTTAATTTTCATGTTTTATCGTACTGTATCATCTCCTGCAAACTCGACACTTATTTCTATTACACCCTGTATACAGTAAAGGAAAACGTTCACCGAACATTTTTTTATCGGCTTGTCGTCATTTTGCGTCGCAATTTGGGCAACGTGTGAAAAACGCTTTTTCAACTACGTCTAACTGAAGATTGCCTACTTATCTGAAATCTGTCTTAAATTAACCGAACTTTCAGAATATTTTAAACAATGCGTAACATCCTTCAAAAGCTCTGAACTGCATTTATAGGACTTACATTACTTAATTATTTATATGAATAAAAATCGCATTAAACAACATACTCTGTTATAAAAGAAAACAGCAGGCTTCTTAGAGCATTATATAGAAAATAATTATAATTTGGACTTAAATAATATAGTAATAAAGTCTTTATACAAAAAATACAAATCTTTCATACATATTAATAATACATTTTTAATCAATAAGTAAACAGAACTGTACAAATCTCTTACCGTTGCTATTGCCAATTTTGTAATGTATTCAGGTTCTTCCTATGAAATCATTAATTGCGTTGGGTTAGAATGGAATTTTAATGTTAGTATTTGTAATTACTCATTGATAGTACATATAATGCCTGTCCGGTCACGTTGAAACATTCCAAGTAGTTACTCTATTATTTGAAATTAATTATTATAATGTTTCATTATGATTTCACCATTGAAAGAATTTCTATTTCAATTAAACGTTTTAATAGTCAAGCAGTTTCAAAGTATTGTACTATAAGAGGAGATAGTCGCAGCAGTTACGACTGCAAGAAAAAAGTGCTTTCTTTACTGTTTTCATTCGTTAATATCTTCCAAACTATTTAGCGTTGATAAAATTGGATGAACTTTTAGAAAACCTTAACATTAATAGGCACACTATAAACTAGAGATGCGCCGGATAGCGATTTTATCGTGTACCGGGTAATGGGGTACTCGGCATTAGCTGTGAGGGGTACCGGCTGGATACCCCCCAAAACCATTACGGTTAACGGTTCATGTCTTCGTTCGGTCGGGTTTTCCATTAAATACCACACACTCAATGAAATTTTAATTCGTTTGGCGGATTTTCAGCGAGAGGGTTGAGTTGAATCCGTTGAAAAAAGCCTATAATGTTTTTAACACTATTGAAAGTCTGCAAGGTGTCAAAATCGTTATCGCAGTTATCGTTAATCAAAACATGACATAAGTACCAACAAGCGTCAGAAATTGTAACAGTTGGAACATACTGATTTATTC